AGTGATATTTATTATGATTCCATGACGACGTGAAATTATCGCTGTAAGTTTTTTTGAAAATTATCGAATTACCGTTTATTAATACCTTTTTTGCCCTATGGCATTGCTATGGATGAGTGAAATAATCCTTCGGAGTTTGTGGAATTTATTTTCAAACATCCTGTAGAAAGTTATATATTATTTTGATTCACGGAGTAAATTGTAAATCATGGATAATCATGGTAAAGATCGTGTTTAACATGTCCGTTCTTGTTAGGGTAAACGAAGCAGATCTTGACCAAACACATTTGTTATACATAGTTATTTAAGTATCAAAATATAATAACAAATAATAAAGAAAATGCATTTGTATCTAAAATGATCAGATATCTTCAGTCAGTCATAAAATAGTAATCAAAAAAGCCAAATTGAAAATTTTGTAAAATTCGTTTTATCCGGTAGTAACGCGCATCTACCATTCGATGAAAATTATGTTTTTAAGGCCCATTTTCATCAGAAACAAGCGAAACGCAGTTTGACGAAACTAAGTTTATTTAAACGCCGAAATTAAACGCGTTTAACGACGGACCGTTTTCACCAGCGTTTCGGTACGTTTCAAAAACTGCGTTTATTGAAACGCATTTTAAGAAACTGGAAACACTGGCATCGTTGCAATAGTGAGAAATATTACGATTCTCATCGCAAAATCATCTTATCAAGGAACCATTTGGGTCTATGACGTCAATAACCCGTTATCAAACCCAAACTTTCTGCTCGAACTAACTGTAAAATTTTAAAGTTTGCTTTGTTTATGCACGGTTTGTGCATTCGTGTATGGCTTATGACTGGTATACACGTGTTTATTAGATTTTATATTTGAAAAATTACTTAAACAAGTAGAAAATGAAGTTCTGCGGACGCCCATTCAGCTCCTTATAAAATTCATTGAATAAACAAGGCAAGCGGAGGAGTCAGGAAGCATTTTACTGGGTAAACATCTTCGCTGGAATCTCACAAAACCCAGAACGAGGAGCTCACCCTATGTGCAATTGGATGTGATGTAGTTGTGTTGAAACCCTTAAAATCTCTAGCAGAAATTTGCATGCATTCTGTGACATAAAACCTCAAATCACCGAGAAGTTGGCTTATCGGCGACACAATTACAGACAGGACAGACAAAGTACATAAGTAACATTAAAATATTCATAGACTTCTTCGAAAATTAAGTTATAAACTGGCCTACGTGCCATTTCTATTTTATTATTTTTTTGTCGACCGACAACAACAATTCTTTAGACAGTGAGGTTAGATCAAGTCTTTAAACGGCGTTTAAAGCTATAAACGCCCAAAATCGGCCAGTTCGTTTCTTTAAACGCGTTTAAGCACAAACTGAGTTTAAGGTTCTGGTGAAATCCGTTTCGCGCGTCAAACTGAGTTTCAGACGTTAAACTGGTTTAAGATCGCTCGATGAAAATGGGCCTAAGATTAACTTTAGTGTTTTTACAATAATGTTTGTTTCCCGGTTTCTTTATCATTGCCCTTTTTGTACTTAGACAACCTTTGTATCCATCATCGCTCAAATAAATATATGATGATCATAAAATTTGCGGAAAATAACAATGGAAAATAGGAAATGTTTATTATTAGTTGTACGAAAAAGACTTACTCTTATTAAAAAGTTCTGCACGTTTTAATACCTAAAATACATCTAAATGACTGAATAAATGTGATCAGACATCGAAATTTTCACTCGTATACGAGGTTTGTCGGAAAATATTAATTTTGATTTTTTCCATAAAATTGGATGTAATTTTATATTTAAACATAGTTTTTATTCGAAGTTCGGATACACTTTTCTTGATAGCAATTTTCGATATTGTCATAAATAAAAGTATTTTATTCTAGAGCAGAACATTTTACTTAAATTGACCAGTGTATATTAAAAGTTTTCCATTTTTAGTCACATTTTGTAATTACGTATATCAGTAGAGAATATGTTTTTTCTTCGTGTACTATGAAAAAAAAAAGTGTTAAGACTACTAAAAAATATGGGATTAGTTTTAGTTAAAAAGTAATGTAGAAGACTTTTGACTCGGTTAAAATAATTACGAAATCAGTAGGAATTCAAACATCGATGTCCTGAAAGCCGACAAAGGTAATTCCAAAGTCATCATGAACTCTAACTAACTAATTTCATCCACATATGCAAAACTTACTTCAATTTGATCAAATTAAATTAAGGTTGATATTTTTCTTTATACACTTATAGCACGTAGGAAAATGGCCCAAGATCAATTAAAATTGTGGTTGTTATTTCAAGAGAGCCCTAAGTTGTAAAGAAACAAGCACATATATTGACTACGATTCAACATAAATCATACACAGATACCACAACATGACAACATACAACTGTCCATATAAAACCTAACGTTTCAACAATTCCGCAAAACAAGGAAAAAATTTAATCAATCGATTGAGAAAGGTGTTGACGAATCCGTAGAAATGTTAATTGAAAATACTTATCCATTTAGTAACATGTCGTTAATTGTTTTTGCTAACATGTGTAGACGTGATTGCAGTTAATTAGCTAGAAAACTGGGAAACCTTGAAATTGATGCTAATAAATCAGTCGTGCAGGAAAAGTGAATACATGAGCTTTTAAATAAAATCTTTTGAGTATTCTTTGAAACGGCTTTATTCACATTCAGTAGAAAATTCCAATTGAAAAATAAGTCGACCTACTATGAAAGTACTACAGGTTTATAATTCCCACCTCTTCTAGGGTCACAGTTGCAGTCACATTGAGTACCTGCCGCATTATAAATTAGGAAACAGGGCCGTATTATACAACAATAAAATTTACATGTTCTTTTAAATATACATCATCACTCAAAAACACATCTATCAAACTTTTATTTCTCAAGGAAACATTTGCTTTTTATTTTCGATGTGTCAAACCAGTTTCGCCAACAGGATCAAAATTGTAACACAATTAAATCGACAGTTTAACAAGTTCCAAAGATTATGAGAAAT